GCATTGTAAAAAGTGCTTTAACAACTCATCCCATTGCAAGCAACATGAACGAACTCACACTGGAGTGAAGTCGTGTTCATGTACGCATTGTAAAAAGTGCTTTACCTACTCATGAAATTGCAAGGAACATGAACGATCTTACACAGGAGTTAATGAAATATATCTATAGAGGTCAATGCGCAGCTTTGTTTTCCGCATGGCAAAATCACGTACAAATGGAGCAACATGCGATCACACATGCTGCACATGGCTTGACTTTGGGGCCACCTGGCTCTGAAGTTTTTAGATTGTTGGTCACCAGCACAAGTATTCTAGTTGTCTAATTTTTGTAGCCCTTTAGGCTATACCGTATATACTTCAACATTCACATTTTTGGTGGTCAAAACCTTTTAATAGATTGAGAGCGTATTCGCTTGTAATAGTTTCCTGTTTTCGCAGGATATGTTTGTTCTCGAGTTCCAGGTGCTGTGCACACTATAACGCGTTTTTAATCACTGTAGTCATTCATATGTATGCAGATTCGAAAGTGACGGCTGTATTGGGTAATAGCATTTTTGAGCGCTTTTATGTGGATTACAAAAACGCTGCGGAAATGGTGGAGTGGATACGAAGAGTTTGACGAGTTTGTGAGAACGCATTGTTTTTAAAACGTAGTAGGGTCGACAGAGCGTCCAATTTAATTCGCCTTGGTGTCCGCGTTCACCTTGGCTCAGCCAGAGAGGTTTTTAGTAAAATCACTTCATTAAATAATTTGAAGCTTAAAGTGCCAATGAAGTAAAAATAATTTCTGCTGACTTGAAAGGCTTTTCAAAGTAAAGAAGAATGGCGTTTTCCTTTCTGGAATATCTTTTTTCGTTTTAGAGATATTCACGTTTTTGTATTATAAGTGATGACGTCATAGGTGGTTCCACTAAAACAGTTCAACACTCAATCAAGAATATCTCTAGAAATATTAAAGCAGTGTTCTTGAAACTTGGCACCAGAAATGTATATCACAAAAGAAACAAAATGACACCCGTTGTGCCGTTGCCATGACAACAGTCATGCCCCTGGTCCTGTTTCAATTAAAACGAACATTACCAGATTTTA